TAAAAAATTTTTAATAATTTAAAAAAATTTTTATAATAAAGTTAATTAAATATGTTTCAAATAATATATTTTATAAAACAAAAAAATTTTACATTATTAATACTTAATTTTATTTAAAAAAATTAATTTTTTTTCCAAATTGCAGGCAAATTTGTCTGCAAAACCTTTTAAGAGATAAAAAACTTGTATTTTTAAACTTTAGTGTATTTTTTCTTTTTCTGTACTATTTTTGTATTTAAGTAGTATACTAATATATTCATTATTTCTAGTTTATTTATATAAATATTTTATTTAAATATTAAACAATACTAATTGTTTTGATAATTAGAATATCAATCTTTAGAAAAAAATAAATTAAACTATTTACTTTTGTTGAAAATTTTCTTAAACAAAAGTAAAAAACTTAACAGAACTTTGTAAATTGTTTTTTATAAGTTTTATAATTATTCTTTAGCTTTTAATATTTTTAATATCAATCTAATTATTCTATATTTCCAAAATATTCTTTTGATTTGAATACCAAATATATAAAAAAGTCTGCTCAAGACAAAGTTTAACCTTTATATAAACTGTTCAAACATCTGCTTCTTAGTGTTTTATATTTTGTAGCTTTGTCAACAACATACCTATTTGCATAGGACCAAGAGTATTATCTGCTTCAGGTGTTTTCTATAACATTTTTCTGTAATTTGGTTTTCTGAAGTTGTTGATCAGAGAATCATCAGAAAGAGTTGTTTTTTGTAAGCACAGATTATAATATAGATTCTATTTGTTTTTTATTTTTCTTTATATTAAATCTTAGATTATAAAACTAGAATTATATAAAGTTGATCCAGAACTATCTAATAATTTGAAGGCCCAAATCTTCAGTAAGTTGAAGATCTCAGAAAAAAAAACCTAGAATAGGTAGTCATACATAAGTATACCCGAAGGAAAAACTGTTTACATCTTTAGTTCTTATGTTTTTATACACTGCTTGAATCATTATGTATTATGTAAGAAGTGCCGAAAAAAAAAAATAAAAAAATAAAAATGTTAGTAGTTCAATTACCAAACTATGGCAAATTCAATGAATCGAAAATGACAAATCAAAGTTATAATACTAAAATTAACCATTCAAAAAACAACTTGTTATTTTAACTAAAAATTTTATACAATTATAAAGTTTTAAAGTAAGGCATCTAGGGTAATACTTCGAATTTGGCTTGTTTTATTATAATTTTTTTTGTCGGCAAGCATCAAACGGAATCATAATACATATATTTTTTTTCTCTTTTTGATGGTCCATTTCATTTCACCCGAGCTAGTTTAGCCAATGAAAATAAAAGATCGTCATTACTACCAAAATCCTATAATCATCTGTTTTTTATGTTATAATATATGAATATCTATTTAGCCCTAATCCTAATCTTTGTTTATAAAATTCGTTCCTGATTAGTTTGGGTACATGTATATTTATTTGAGTTTGAACATTAATGATCAAAAATGGGATATTTGGGTTTTAGTCATGAACCCAAATTTAAGATCCCAATACCAAAACCCAAACTATGTAGTAATGTCATAATTCAAAAAAATGAAGCCATATTGTTCATCCAACATTTGTGTACTGAAAAAAAAATAATAATAACAATCATTATTAATTACTGTTATCAGACAATATGAAGAAATCATATTAGAACTATTAAAACCAACTGTACCTCAACATCATCCATAGGATCCTCAGATTGCGCTTTATATTGCTCTACTTTTCGTTCTATTCGTTTGTTTGGATGCAGATTATGTTCCATGATGAGCTTGTCACAACCTGAATAATAAGTTCGATTAAAAAAATATATCTGGCTTGATTTTCATCAATTCACGTAGATATAAGTATAATTACCGGTCATTGGACATGGGACTGAATTCATGTTACGCCTTATTAACTGCAAGATAGCGTCTTTTGAAAATGTATGTTTACACACATTACTATATATAGAATTAAACGTTAGAGATTTCTTGTTCAAAACGTCAAAAACAAGGATTATAGAAAATACCTTGTAACTGGTTCTTCCAACAATAATGTTGTGATTGGGCAATATAAAGATTCTTTTTGTCTTCCCATTACAATTTCATCATCGGCTTCTTTATCTAGTGGAGGCATAGTTTCATCGGGATGATTAACATCCTGTTCAAAGTTGAACATTTCTCGTAAATTATCTTGACAACAGTTACATGAATGAACGTTGAACGTTACATATATATTATTTTTAATACCCAAATTTTTTGACGAAATTCGATGTAGTTTTCATTTTGAAAATATTTTTCATTCTCAGTTTTGGATTCGTACTTTTTTAAAGCATCATCCAATTGTGATTCATAAT